GTAACAGAGTCCAGTAGATATTTCACAGGAAAAGCTCGCTTTTTCTTAAAACTTTGCTACAAGTGATGCTTCTATTTTCTTAAGACTTTTATAGAGGACCTCAAGAGAAATGTAAATGAATACCATACTAAGAGGCTATCTTTCACTAATGGGCCGGGCAAAAATGCCAACGCTTGTCAATACATCTTGTTGGCAAAGTCAAGGAAAGCAAGAACACTCATATGTCAGAGGTAGGAAGGCAAAATGGTGCAACCCCTAGAGGGGAGAATTTGGAAATGTCTAATAATTTGACAAATGCATTCACCCTTTGACCCAGCTAGCCCACTTTCAGGAACTTGTCCCAAAAGATCTAGAAGCACACGAGGCAAAAAAATGAATGGGAAAAATACTTCGATGCAGCAGGCCAAAAAAGTCAGAACTCACTGAAAATCTTCATAGCACAAAAAAAGACAACCAGAGTACATGCTTCTGGATGGAAGTAATGCTACCACCTACAAAACATTCATACTGAAGAAAAAAAGAAAGGAAAAGGAAAATAAACTTGAATTTGAACCAGCTTCTTGAACTAATTAATCTGTGTGCATGAATAACAGGAGATAAGAGAACATGTTGGGTAATGCCCTGAGAATTCAAGCAGCAAAATCCGCTATCAGGGAAATTCTATGGAACGAGAAAATTACATTCTTCAACAAATGGGTTATCAGGAAAACAAAAAAGAGGAGGACCAGAGATGAAGACTTAAGAAATGCATTAACCAAACGCACTGCATTGGGTGTTATTAGAATCTGGTCCCAAACTGAGAGGAGATGCAGGAAAGTTTGCTAGAGAGAGATGTCTAATGATTGGGATATTGGTACTATAGTAATGCTTCCAAAAGAAGAACACACTTTAGGAGAGATATGTATCAATTAAATATGATTCTTGGATTTGCTTCAATAAGGGACTGAGAGCTTAGTGAATGAGACAGGGCCACAGATGAGTAAGATCGGCCATTGTGTGGTTAGAATGGGGTGAGGGGAACAGGAGGGTTTCATTATACTATTTTCTCCACTTTTATATTTGACATTTTCCAACATTGGAAATTTATACACACACACACACACACACACACTCTCTCTCTCTCTCTCTCTAGATACACACATACAATATATTCTAACATTAATCCAGAGAATGTATCCATGGCCAGCTCCCCTCCGCAGATATTAACAACATATACAGATATTTTTAAAAATACAAAAGGTTCTTTTTTCCTCACTTGGACTCAAGCATAATGATGAATTTCCTTGCTAGCCAGGAAATTCACCAAGATAAACAAGTCAAGTTTAAAATGGTATAAGCAGCCAAAGTCCTGGTGAGGTGCTCTGGAAATTAATACACTGGAGATTCTGGAAGCAAGAACAGCAAAAAGTTCTAGAGAAAAATCTAGGGCCACTAACTTAAATCAATACTGGAAGTAAAATCAGAGAAGCTTCACCTTTATGTATAACACCTCACGTGCTATCTGTACTTATAGTCAAGATTTCAGTTAATGTGTGGTAATTGTATCTCAATAAATGATAAATATAAATTTGCATGACTTGATCAAAACGTAAATACCCAACCTTCAATACCAGAAAAATAATGGGGCCATGAAAATCTCATAGCCTGTGGAACTGAGGAAAAGGCTATCAGATTATTTTTCACTTATAAAGAATTTTAAGAGTGGCGTAAGTGTCTGTGTTTTCTCTTTCTCCTGAAAGGCTGAGTCAGAGAACATAGTGACAACAAAGCTTCAAATAGAGTGGCAGTGTGCTGAGGAAGTCAGAGCTAGCTAGGTGAGCTCTGTGCAAGGCCTCTGTGCATGGCCTCCATGCAAGGCCGCCTGGCCCCTTGGCGGGGGCACAGGGTGGACCCCTCAGGACCAAGGCCAGGTCCACAGCCTTCCCTGCCACTCCTCTGCCTCCCCAGAGAAGGCGGGTGTCCCCATAAGCTCTGGCAGGCAAGAAGAGCCTCCCTTGGCAAAAGGCAAGTTTACAATCACTACTCCCAAGCGTGGGATCTTGCTAACAAAAGCAGACAAAAAATACAAACAACACCGTCCTTCTCTCTTCCAGAAGCACAACTCACATTCCGTGTTGGCTGCAGGCATGAAGTTAACCCTCTCCCTGTACTGGTCCCAACCTCCCTAATACACACCCAGAAAAACAAAAGCCTCCTCTTTCAATCCTTGAAACAACTGCAACCACACCAAGATGGATTTACTTCCCAGCAAGGCCAAGGGCATGGCAGTTTCCTTGGTCCCCAACACATTTTATATTCTAGGTTATTCAGTCTTAAGCTCACATTGCAATAGAACCTTTGTCTTAAAACGGGGAAACAGAGCTGTCCAGACTGACAGAGCACAGGCAAAGGAGCAGGCACTGAGCCTGGCAAGCCTGCTGGGAAGAGCATAGGGCTTGGCTCCCTGTGAGGCTCCAGTCTCAGACTCTTCCAGAGCCCCAGTCACCTTCCTCAGAGCTTCTGCAAGTAAGAATGTGATAGACCTCAACTTCTAGCACACACATGCCTACCATTAAAGTAACCAATTATCTATCCATAGAAGCTGTAGAGTAGTGAAAGAAAGCTACAGTAGGACCCAATGAGAGCTAAAAATTAACCTCCAATTCAACTAGAGAGTCTAGCAACTTCTAGTGATTTATCAAATCAAATTACTTGCTTGTTCTTATTCTTCTTCCATCCTTTTAGCAGAAGTGACACAGGATGACAGAGCCACAACACACACAGAAGCATCCTAGGAGCCAGAACATCTGGAGACTAGCTGGACTTCAGGGGTAAAATCAGAGCCTGTATCAGTGCATTAGGAAGCACTTAGCAAGTGGACTAAACAAGCAACAACACCAGTAGCTGGTAACAGTACTGGAGAAGCAGATTGATTTGCTTAAGACAAAACTTAAACATAAAAAACTTGGGCTGACAGAGTGGCTCAAGTGGTAACAGCGCCTGCCTAGCAAACGTGAGGCCCTAAATTCAAATCCCAGTGTACAAATCAACTAGAGCTTATTAAAAGAATCTCAGATTGTAGATCCTAAACACAAGATAGTACACACAAATACTGCTGAGTAATAGAAAAAGCAAAGAGCAGACAATGACTTGAAAAGAACTCAGATTATACTATGCTAATGGGCTTATCAAAACTCACCTGCAGGGGGCATGGCAGTGTTTCTGAATAAACTGTCAACATTTAACAATCGTGGGAGTGAGGGCCAGAGAAAACCAAGCCTCTTTAAGTAGGACCCAGTTCACCTTTCTTTTGTGTCTTCTCTGGTGCCTAGATGACCTTAATCTAAAAGGACACACAAAGGAATTCTGACTGACTTAAGAAAGTCAATCCCAACCTAGTGTTCAACAACATGCCTAGTTCTTGCACTTTACACAAGACTGAGATAACTGCACTTGTCAAACATTCATCTATTATCTCCCCGTAAAAAGCAACACTGCAGCCATATCTGGAACAGTGCTACTGAGTCTGTACCTAGGACACAAAGCATGCCATGCTGCTGCCCACCTTTGTCAACCACAGCAATCATTGCAGGTTCCTGCCTTTATTGAAGGCTGACTAGGTAGCAGACATTGATACTACCCTCTGGAAAATCATCACTGTTATAGACTGTGTGTTTGTGTCCCCTCCAGCTTCTTAGGTTGAAGCCCTATCCCCTAATGAGAGAGAATCCGGAGATGGAGCTTTTGAGAGCGATTAGGTTGACATGAAGTCAGAGGGTAAGATCTCACTGATGAGATTAGTGCTCTCCAAGGGAAGGGAGGCCAGAGTACTTGCATATTCTCTTTCTTTCTCTCTCTCTCTCTCTCTCTCTCTCTCTTTTTCTCCCTCCCTCTTTCCCTCCCTCCCTCCTTCCCTCCCGTTTGCAAGTCAAGAATCAGGCCCTCACTAGGAATAAAGTCTTGGACTGTGAAATAAATGTCTGATGTTCAAGCCACCCAGTCTTCATGTGGAATGGATGAAGACACTCACCATTTTCAGATATATAAGAAATTAGGCACAGAAAGTGTGTAGCATATGCCCAGGTTCAGCCAGTGAAGGCAGTCTCTGAATCAAGAGAAAAGGACTCCCAGCCAACAAGCCCACAACAACTTTTCTCAGAAAAATCAATGTTTTTCATATCAATGCCACCACCATTTGTAAAATAACAACTTTTATTCATTTAATTGTAAAAACATGAATACCTGTCGATGAGACTGTCCAACATCACTTCCTGTGATGATGGAAATCTATTGCCTGTGCTGCCTAGGAAGTAGCCGCTACCTCAGTGGTTCTCAACTAGGGACATTAGAGAATGTCTGGAGGCATTTTCAGTTGTCACAATGGGGGTTTGGGTGCGACTAGCACCTAGTGGGAAGGGGCCAGGGATGTTGCCCAACTTCCTATAGTGTACAGGACTTCCTCCACAAAGTTTATCTGGTCTAAAATGTCACTGGTATCATGATAAAGAAAATTCACACTAGCCACATGTGACCACTGAGCACTTTGGATGTGGCTACTGAGACTGAGGAACTAAATTTTAATTAATTTAAGTTTAAATTTTAGAATGAAAAATTTTAAGAAAATAAAACGAAACCCGAAATTAAATGTAAGTGGTTGCTGGCAGAATGGCTCAAGTGGCTCCTACCTAACAAGCATGAGGCCTTAATGAACCCCAGAATCATCAAAAAATAAACAAATAAATGTAAATGGTTATCTGTATCTTAGACACTATATCTACAGAGTAGTGCATAAATAAATAAAATAAAGTAGATGTCTTGTTTCACAAGCATTTCCATTTAAAGGAATAAAGTATCTTTAAGAAAAAGAGAAACTCTGCTGTTTAGGATTGGAAATAAGAAACATAAGTAAAGGCATAAAAGTGAAGGTCATAGGCTTTTGGATACATGTTCAGATACCAAACATGTCAGAACACGAGGAAGTCACAGGCAAATGCTCCCATCTACACATTCAGGCGACTCACTCTTGCAGGGTCTCCACGCCCTTTTCTTTGTACTGCAGCTCCTGCTTCATCTGGGTCAGCTCTCGTTTTAATCTGGAAAGCTAAAGACAAATTACATTTTTTTCTAAAAACAAGCTATGAAAAATTATTCCTACAGTTGTTATTTGCCATGTCATCTAAGTTCCTATTTAGCTCACAATTCCATGGGTATCTATTCTCTCCATGAACTCCTATTCACACACTTGTAAAACCGCCACTCTAGAAAAACCACCTTGCTTAGACTCAAGAATCCCCAATCATGACAGGTACATATCCAAATGGGGAACTGGTAACTATTTTTTTCAAGGTAATGATTAACACATCACAATTAGCAAGCTTATGATTCTGTCATCTTTCCTTCTACTTACTACTCATCAATCCCACCTAGGAAACAATCTCTAAAAGCAAGGTCTACCTGAAACTTAATCTCTTGGTACATTTCTTTAAACAGATTTCAAAATCCACCGCATTTTCTGAGCTATGCTCAGCACAAGTGTGACCCTTCCCAGACACCCAAGGAGACAAGGGTCTGAAGAGACAACACGAAGTGACACTTGAAGAATCCAGGTGTCACAAGGAAAGGAGCACCAGAACCCTTCTGGTCAAGCACTATTACAGAACCCAGCCATCTAGGACTAGGGAAAACAGTAGCTGCCACAGTCAAGGTCAGCACCCTGCTAGTACAGGGAAGCAGCCCCATGACACTGGGTCCCGATGTCATTAAGTCCAGTCTATGAAACATGTCAGATAAGCTATGGCTTTAAAATGAAACTTTTTCCTTACTGGAAAAAAGTGAAAAGCAAAACAAAATATAATAACAATAATTAATGAAATCGAAATCTTACTAAAATCTAAGTGTTAGTCATGCTAATGACCACAAAATGAACCATGATAAGTAACGTTACATAAAAATATGTATGGGGCTTCTAGGTGTAAGAACACTGGTTTTACTCACCCTATCCCGACGACTTGCTATTTCTGCTTTAATCTGATGTGGGTCATACTTTGTATTTGTTGAATATCCAGAGAAGGCTAAACAAAAGGAAAATATTTTATAATGGATTCTTTAAAATAAATAAATGCACATAAAAACTTCCAGTTTACCATATTAAATAATTAATTCTAAATCTCAGATTTATAAATGGATTCTGACCATTGCCTTATTCACCGATGACACTAATATCATTTAAATGAAAATGAATGCTTGAGTGACAGGGTAAGTGTGAGTCATTTGAAATGAATGCAGTTAAGAGTAACTGTGCACAAGATGACCATGAAGACTGGGGGGAGGCAGGTGCCAGTAGCTCACCCCTACAATACTAGTTAATTGGGAGGTTGAGATCAGGAAGATCGCTGTTCAAGGCCAGCCCAGACAAATAGTTCCCAAGACCCCCATTTCCAAAATAACCAGAGCAAAATGAACTGGAGGTGTGACTCAAGCAGTAAGAGCGTCTGCTTTGCAAGCAGTAAGTCATGAGTTTATACATAGCCTAGTCCCACCCTCCTCCCAAAATTAACATTTCATAACATCAAATCCCCTTGATGTTCATATTTTTGCACCAGGATTTTCTACATAATTCCACATAAGAAAAATATATGGCTGTAGGTAAATCAAAACTGTTTACTTATACTACAAATCTACTAGGGTTAAAAACTATACACACAAAAGGGGGAAATGATTATGGTATGGAAAACTATTCTTATTATGTGCATGGCACCTGTAGTATGAACCCATTTATACTTTCTTTTCCAGTACACACATGGAAGAGACTGAAGGATAGAACTCAAAGATTAACTGTAATTATTTTCTGTGGCTGCATTGCAAGAGGTTTTAGCTTTATTTTCTTCAAATCTATATTCTCCAGTTAAATAATTTTTGACAGGAAAGAAAAAAAAGTAATTAAGAATTTAAAAATTAAAAAGGTAACTTTCTAGTTGTGTCAGTATCTAGTACCATGTCAGTGTAGCAAGCTTAAAGAAAGCTGTGCCCTCAAGTTGCTTGCTCCCCAGAAACTGAAGTGAAGCACTCATACTTTTTCACTAAGTTTGTTTGGCTGAAATACACCACATAACTCAATGCTTTCTTAAACAGTGCAGTGCACATGATTTAAACTCTTTTTACAGACACAGAATCAGTAGTATGAATAGCCAATACTTGGGGTGAATAAGCTCCACAAAGCTGCTTATATGCACAGCACACTGCCAATTTCTGTCCACACAGAGAGCTGAAAGCCTTTTCCCATGTTCCAGCAGCCAAAGAAGTCAATGGCTGTTTCTCATTTCTACCATCCTTTGTACCTCTCTGCACTCTTTTTCTTGACGTCTGAAGCCATGGGCCTTTTTGTACTACAGCAACTTGACTTCTATTTCTTGGTTCCTTTGCCTTCATCTATGAGTCACCCCCACACTGGGATCATCAGCCTCCTTCCTGATGATTGTCCTTAATATCACCTGCTCAGAAGACCCATCTGTAAGACCAGCACCCATTTCTTTTACTTCTTAGATGTGGGTACCCAAGGTTGACTGTCACACAATCAACTTAGATGCTTACAACTAGAATTTAATTCAAAATCCTTTCTTGACTTTATATTGGAAAGGATGGCTCAAAACCATTATGTAGTTTATATAGCAATATCATTTAAAACCCCAGTTAGAATCATATCCAAAGTTAATTTGAGCAGTTTGGATCCTCCATTTTAAAAAACAGCGCTATGTAAAATCTACTATTTAAGCCTATTCAGTCAGAACTTCAAACTGAATGTACTAGAAACAAGTATCTAGAAGACCTAAGTGTTTGCCAGCTTAATCTCAAATTTTCTTATACTTAGAATTGTGATCGCTCAAAGACATAGATTAAAATATTTTTAAAACAGAATTCTTGGGCCGGGGACGTAGCTCATTGGTACAACACTTTGCCTAACATGCTTGAAGCCCTGTGTTCAATCTCCAACACCATACACACACACACACACAAAATTCTTTCTTAAATGAGAATGCCTATTTCCAAATCCTGCAGCTTTAATCTTGCCTAATGAAAGTGACACCTCAAACAATAACCTTAAAAGGCAGAAATCATTCATAGAATATCTCCATATTAAACTCCCAGGACTTAAGTCTCCCAGACCTGAGCATGAAGACCTTCCACTCTAGAGGGAGCAATTTGCAAATGAGGCAAAGGTCTGTATCCTCCCTTACGTGAGTGTTAAACTTGTCAATTTAACAGTCAGAAGGACAATGCCAACAGTTATCACCTGGGATCTTTCCCATTAAGGGTAAAAGTAACCCCACCACCAAAGTTCAAAAGTTAACTTCAATGTTAAACATCAGTAACGATAACTGTAAATCATCACCAGTATCTGTGGTGAATAAACTCCAGGAAACATTTTCTGCTTGTGCAATTTCATAGAGAAAATTAGCAGAGACTTGAATAACACATGAGAGGTGTGGTGGATACTGCTGGGTATCTACACAGTAACCCTTCACATATCTCCCTAAGTAATAGAACCCAGATCCTGACCTGTAGCCACCTCTCACCGAGGAGACTCAGTATATACTCAGTTCTAGAAGGAGAGCTTGATGGAACAAAAACACTATGAAGCCATGAAATCCCTCATGGAGAACCCCACCCAACCTCCAAAGGACTCTGTTATGTGACAGTGAATTTCCTATTTGTCTAGGCCTGTGGGAGTCAGTCTTCTACTACTTACAGTTGAAGAGATCTTAAAGGTAGATTTTACTGAGACCACACAAGTTACCTTTGCTACATATGGCCTCTAAAAATGGGAAATTCCATGTCTGGGATGAGGGAAAAGGCAATTCAAGTACCTAAGACTGTAAATATATTTTATCCCCAAATGTTAACAATAGTTGTGAACACTGGTATAACTTCTAATAGTATAATTCAATTCATAAGTAAAAATTTCAGTTCCTAGAATCTGGCATGAGTCTAACAGAACAATTTACAGAGTCCAAGGAACCACTAGGGCTCCAGACCCCTTTTAACAGCATACACTTCACAACATTTATACAAAGAACTACCTTCCTCTGTGAAGCATGTCTCCAATCTCAAGGTTTATAATGAAGAGCAGACTTCCACCTCAGAAGCTTTCTTTTCTCTTGAGAGTTGAGTGTGCAGAGTTGCTAACTAGCTCAAGGAGTCTGCCCAGGCATATAATATTGCTTTGCATATATAATAATAAGGGTACAGCTTAGCTGGACCACAACAATGTAAATTATTAGACCTTGCTATTATATGGTGCCTTTCACATGTATTTCATCTATTCTCATAAAATCTTTGTGGAAGGGAGATGATTATTATGTTTCTTTACTTTGTAGATTAAAAGACTCAGTTTGCAGTGACTTGACCTACAAGTATGCCATCATTCATGGAAGTATTCATGTCTAGGTCTTGGGCTCCTAGGGGATTATCTCTGCTACAGCCTTCAAGATTGAAACTTGCCAGTTAATTCGTGTGAAAAATGCTGTGTGATCTGTTTTTCTCCTGCCTGCTCCAACATGCTTGTGTGAGGGAAAACAAAAGGCTGAGAGGATTGCCTGCAGCCCTTATCCTAACCCAGACAGCAGATGAGAAACCCTTTAGCAGAGCTGATGGAAGATAGTCTGAGTGGGATGGGCTTGGAGCCTCAGAAAGAATGTTGGCAGAACTGATAGCTGATAAGGTCAAGCTTCTGCCACCACCTGACCCAAGAATCCAGAGTGAGTCAGCACTTTCTCACCAAAGATAAGGCTGGCTCTTTCACAGGCACCAAAAGACACTTTAGGTGTCTCACTCCTGGAGCCATGATAACAGTCATATTCCAGCTACTAGAAGGGACATTCACAGTTAATCTAGACCACTGGACCTCACCTGGGGTGTTTTAAAGACACAAACAACAAAAATATCAGGCATCATCCAATGCTAATTAAATCAAAGTCCCTTGAATTGGGGCCCAGGCAGTAGTAGTTTGTAAAGGCCCTCCAGGAGATTTGAACTTGCAGTCAGGGTTGAGAATCACTGGTGTAGACCCTGGGTTGGAAACTTCTTCTGAAAAGAGGAAGACAGTAATATTTGGCTCTGTGGACCATACCATCTGTCTCAAATAATCAGTTCTGCTATTGTAGCTACCATAGACAATAGTGAGTGAATGGCCATGGCTGTGTTTCAAGAAAACTTTATTTGCAAACACCTACACCGATAGGATTCAGCCTGTGGACCTAATGTAGTTTGCAGGCCTGTGGTTCAGATGGTAATTCTATGCCACATAAGAATTTTTTCCAAAAGATTCTGCAAATGGTCATAGTTAATCGAATATATGCAGAGGCTAGAGTTTCTCAAGAATGAAGGAGTAACTCCAGAAAGAAGTTTCTAAGATAATGAATGCATTTAGTGGTAAAAGGAAGGCAAACAGAAGAACATGTTCCAATGAAAAATGTAGGAGAGAACTCTACAAAATGGAGCTGTAAAGAAAAAACTGGGTGTGTCACTGAATGTGTCCACTGTGGGTCAGATTCATCCCAGTGCTCTATAAAGCATAAAATAGGACTGGGTACCAGGCAGTGAGCTCGGGGGCTCACAGAAATAAATGAGAGTTGGGATCTTGGTTCCTGCAGCCATGTGTGTTCTAATCTGGCAGAACATTTGAATTTGTTTTTTAACCAGGAACAAAAGGAGTCAAGGCTTGGATATTCTTAGATACCAGATGGGCCAACATTGACACAAAATCTTTCCTTTCAAATGAATGGAGTTTTAGTCTTGTGATTTCCATAGCTCAGAGGGAACTCTGTGAAGGGTGTGGATGAGATGCACTTCCCTTCCTGCAGTCCTCCCCACACCCTTCTTTTCCAACGTTAGAAAGGGCTAGTCTAGGTTCATTACTATGTTCATCATTATTGCCTCATTTTCCTCTTCAATCGGCCATTAGGGATAAATTGTGTTCCCAACATTTAGGATATAATGACGGCAGGTACTCAGGTACTAAATAAGTATGTGTCCAAATAATGAATGAATAGCTTAGTGATCCTATGTGGGACCCAAGAAAGTCAAGAAGTAGAAAGTGTTCTGTCTTTCACTTGTCCCCTGTATTGTTACATGACTGTCAGATAACTTGTCAATTTATAACCAGTCTTTGTTTTCAGATAATAGGAAATGGGGGATAGGGGGTGCAAGTGTTCCAAAAATACAATCAGCTCTTTGGAACTGCTTCTTTCTTGTCTAGGAAATACTGTAGAAAAACAAAGGCAACAAATTAACAGATTTGGGTTCAAATCCAAATTGTATCATTTCCTGGATACATAACCTTGAAGAAGTAATTTAGCATCACTGATACCCAGTTTCTCAAGAGAACAAGGAAGATAACAGTATGTGCTTCACAATACATTAACCATAACTATGCATAGGAAACACTAGCTTATTGAATATTGTTTCCTTTTTCTTCAAGTTATTACCGATGAAGGAAGTAATAGGAACTAAATTCAGATGATATTCAGTTCCCATTACCAGAACAAGGAGTGCTTGAGATGACTAGCTGGCACTGAGAGAGATCCCGTGTGGCTGACTAGAACCAGGTGTGCTATGCTCCTAATGTGGGCCCAGTCCCTCTGGCATGGCCATACAAGCCATCTGTTAGATCACAGCAACTCAAGCCAACAGGATCACTGCACTGAACTTTACCCTGTGGCCAGAAAGAATTAATTTGAGTCATGACTAGCAGGGTTTTCCTCATTGTAATCAGTAGCTCAAGTTAAACAGCAGACTGAAAGGGCCTAGTGGAAACCCTAGAGACAGCAGCAACTTGATAAACCACTTGGATTAACTCCTAGATTCCATTCATAGCTGACTTTTTCCCTTGTGAGCTGATAGGCTCCAGGAAGCTCCACTGGCATCTCCAGCCCTTTCATGAAAACAGACATGCCAAATTCTGGCCTCCAAGGCAACCTACTCAAGGGGAAGAAGGGACTGTGAGTACATGGAGACTTCTAGCAAGCCAGGCAATGGCATGTGATGAGCATGTTAGAATCTCAGTACCAGGGAAGCATCATATGCCTCTACTGAAAAACAAATGCCACTTCAAAGAGGGCATCTTGAGTATTTCATTTACTGGGCAATAATAAAATTCCATGGGGTACAGGAAGGAATGTAATTGAGTACAATTCCTTATTTGCCTAAGTGTCAAAGAGGTGAAAAATTCATGGAAATACAAAAACTGATCTTGTTGAATATCCCCAATCCATAAAGACTCTAAGTATGGAATAACCTTACCCTATGGGCTCAACATAGGTTGGGGTTTCCCTTTCATTCCTCCTCAAGGTAGGTACTCTCTGGACATATAGTCCAGAGTCCCCACAGTCACCGCAGCTGAAGTCCTGACTGCACTATTAGTAACTGATATATAATACAAGCCTTCTCTTGACTCAATTTTTCTTTTCAATCACTCTGAAGAAACTTCCTGCCAAGTTTTTCTGATACGTACTTCTTCCAGTCCATTCTTTGAAAGACTGACTTGAGAGCCTTTTGAGACTTAACCAAACCTGACCATGTAACAGATAAAGTACTTAAGGGATACTGCAAAAAAATACACTATTAGGTTGAATCATAAGAAATCAGTAACCTTCAGCCCTTCTTTCCCTGTAAAAATGATAATTTTGTATGGCTCAATCTTGCTTCTGCTAAGTGGCTTTTTGAAAGGTTTAGAATTGCTAACTATATGATCTCAGAACCTGTAATAAGTCGATGCTTCAGCTAGGTGTGACCTTGAGGTACCAAGTCCTTGGGCTTCTGATGCTATGAGATCACCAAGAATGAACATGTGCTAGGCCATAAAAGTCATCTCAATAGATTTCAAAAAATTGGAATCTTACCTAGTATAGCTTCTGACAATTGAATTAAATTAGAAATCAGTAACAACATGACATCTTTTAAAAGTCCCAATAACTTACTTCTAAAGAATCCATGGGCCAAGAAATAAATCACAAAAGAAATGAGAAAATATTTTAAGCTGAATGAAAATGAAACCATAGCATTCCAAAATTTGTGGAAAGCAGTTAAAGAGAACTGAGAGGAGAATCTGTACCTTTAAAGGCTGTGTAAGAAAGTAAGAAAGGTCTAAAATCAGTGATCTAAGTTTCCACTTCACAAAGCTGGAAAAGGAAAAACAAATTAAAGGCAAACTAAGTAGAAGGAAGGAAACGATAAAGAAGAAAAATCAATACAATTGGAAACAGATAAGTAACAGGGAGGAAGAAAACCAAAGTACAATTCATTCTAAAGATAAATAAATTTGCACTGGGGCAAGGCTCAAGAGGTAGAGTGACTGCCTAGCAAGCACAAGGTCCTGAGTCCAAATCCCAGTACTGTAACAACAAAAAACCCCAAACAAATAAAATTGACAAAAGTTTAGCTACACTGTTAAGAAAAAAGAAAGAAGACTCAAATTATTAGTATCATCCATGAAAGAGAGGCCACCGCCTCAGACTCTTCAGTCATTAAAAGGATAACTTTGTAGACTTGACAGTTACAGCTCGGATCATCATTTGGAAAACTCCTTGTGGGCCAAATCTGGCTTGTTACCTATATTTATACTTTTATTGGAACACAGCCAAACACTCATTTATATGTTATCTCTGACTGCTTTTTCACAATAACAACAGGGTTGAGTAGTTGGCACTCGCTGAGATGCAATGGCCCACAAATCCTAAAATATTTACTACTAATCCTTTATAGAAAAGATTGCTGACTTTTGGATTAAATGAAACAAATTCTTTGAAACACACAAATACCAAAACTGATTCAAGAAGAAATATAAAACCTACAAAGAACACTCCAACAAAGAATTCTAGGCCCCAGTGGCTTTTCTGGTAAATACTATTAAACAGTTAAGGAAACAGTAATACCAATCCAATATAAACTCTTTCAGAGAAGAGGCAAGGAGGGAACACTTCTCAATTCATTCTATGAGGCTAGTATTACTGTGATATCAAAATCAGAGAGACATTACACTGTAGAGAGAAGAAAATGCCTCTAAAATTCAGCACTAGACTGCCTATCGACTTATCTATCACCTTCCGAAGAAAAGTTAAAAAAAAATAAATTAGTATGAACCAATATCTGAAGACCAAGAGATAAGATGACTTGGAAGCAACATATCGTTATACCTGAGTCGCCTGCACTCCCTCAAGGCACATGGTAATAGAAATATCTTAAATTCCTGCTACCCTCACCATTGTCCATAGTTTCTAGGTTTTTTTCTCCTTCAAGAGTAGCTGCAACACAAAAGAGCACAAGACATATGGCCCCTTGGCCTTAATTCCATTCTGATTTACAACACAGAATAAAGCTATGATTATTATCTTTAATGTTAAAAGCTCTTGTTGCCAAATACCTGGCAACAAGGTCACACACAAGTTCCCCCATGTCTCAACTAGGCTTAAGTATTCAAAAAAGTAAAAGCTAGTATTACCAACTTCATATATTCTCTCCAAGTTCATTGGCACCCAAAACAGTAGTGGTCATGTGTACCTATGGTGGGCTATGCAATGTGAGGACTCTTGTTAGGAAGGGACTGGTTCACACAGTGACTAATTCTCAGTAACAAAAGGCTTTGGCTTCTTATTCTGAACCTGACTCCTATACCTGGGCACCTGCTAAATAGTAATGAAAGGCCACCTGTGGTAGCCTCTGAAACAAAGGAAGGATTCCTTAGTTTCAAAAAGGAAGGGTTCCTTTGAGAATACCAGGGTACAGCCTCTGATTTGAGGGTCAGAGAGAGATCTCCTGCACCTACACACAAACACAATGCTCTGGTTAGACTCAGTTCCTTCTCCTTCAGCGGAATGCCCAATAAAGCCTAAAGCCCAAGAAAGGTCTCTACAGAAAGACAAGTGCTTGGCAGGCCTGAGACTCCTGAATCTTCCTACTCAGGATTAAGGGAAACTCTGTGAATTTCCCAAGAGATGCAGGTGAAGCCCTCTTCAAAACTGAGTAGGAGGTTGTTTTACATTATGGCCTGAAATTTTATTTATGTGATTATTTATTTTTTACTGTCCCCTTTCTGACCTTTCTTTGTAAGTCACCACCACACCCCAGTGTCTGGGCACAAAGTAGACCCTTGAAATTATCAATTACCTAACAGTATTTGATTGGAACCTTTATAAAGCTCTCTTGCCCAAGTAAAGCTGGGCATTTGCAGAGAAGCCAGCAGGGGCTTGGCTTTTCAAGTCACACATATTCACTGGAGGAGACAAATCAACTCACAGCTGGCATACGAGCGGCCGTCGTCCTCACACAATTTGTGCAGCTGCTGGTATTCCTCTTGAGCCAGCTCGAACCGTTGCTGCTTGATCTGGTAGATTTCTTTCTTGGCATTGAGAGCCTCCTGGGCTACAATTAAATACTCCTTCAGCATCCGTTCCTGCTCTCGCCTCCACTGCTCTCTTGGGTCCTCAATCTGGGTCAGCTCTGAAATGAAAAGGGCAAATAACACAAGTGACCTAAGGGTGAAGTCTGCAGATTCACCTACAGTCATGCAGTTATGTTGCTAGTCAACATGAAAATTAATTACCAGAATACACACTATGGGAGATCCTACATCGTGAACCTTTCTAAAGTGTGGTATACATTCTACTTATGTGTCCACAGTTCAAATGAGAAGAAAATTTTGAAGATAAGGAATAGTCCATTGAGGAGGAAAGACAATACAAGACAATTTTTTTCACCCATAAAGACCACACTTTAAATAAGTGTTGGAGCAGATGAATCCAAATGAGCTCAGAACCACCCAACTAGTCAATATTTACAATATTGTTCTCAATGAGTTCTTCACCATGGGATGCTATAAACACTACCGTGCCCGGATTTGGCTCCTTCCTTTCCTCCTCTTCTCTTCTCATTCCTCCTTGACTTCCTTATCTCCCCAAGCCCACAACTCCCCCACTTCCCACTACTATCTTCTCATACTGTAGGCCCTCAAAAGGGCCTGTGCCTGCTTCTAGCTCCATCCTTTCTCCTGAGCTCCAATCTTTGATTCCAAGATACCTCCTAGATGTATCTCCTTCTGAACAGAACCAAAGTAATTCTGAGACAGCACAACTCATTCTCACAAACCACACTTTCATTACCAAAAGCACAACCAAACCAACAACACACAATACATGCTGCTTCATCTTCTAACTTCCTTCTCACAGTGAGTAGTACCACCCACTTACCCTGCCTGGGAATCCAACCTGACTCTCATCCTCAAAGAACTCCTGCTCTGAGATCTTCCTCCCAGAATACTTCAAGGATCATCAAGAATTGGTGCTGTAGCACTAACAGGCTACAACATGGAGGAGCCTCAAAACATTATGCTAAGTAAAAGAAGTCAGACACAAATGGCCACATGCTATATGATTCCATAGATATGAAATGTCTACAACATGCAAATCCACAGGGACAAAAAGCAGAGACTGGGGAAGAGGGGAATGTGGAGTGTTTAGCAAGGATGAGTTTCCCTTTGTGTCTGCTGAGAGTGTTTGGGTACTATACAGAGGTAGAGGTTGTACCACACCAAATGAACCAAATGCTATTGAAGTGTGCAGGCTCTAAAATGGTTCATTTTATGATCTGTGAATTTCACCTCAAAAAAGTTAGAAAGGGAATTTTTATCTTATGTTTGTTTTACAGACACACTTGTGCTTTGCTAACTGTTGCAAGGTAAGTTCTGCCTTGCTAACACTCTCCTCCATTTACTTTCCTGCAGATAGCCCATATACAGCCCTCACTCTGCAACCCCAGATTCTTAGAAAGACTATCCAGATCTTAAACCCTTACATGGGGAAACAGAAAAGCCAAAAAACAAGAATTAAGAGTTCCGTCCCCCAGTTCCAGAGGGTCTGTGGCAGAGCAGGGCTCTTGTAACTGCCCAGATAGTCTCAGTGTTTATTCAGCTGTGAGATCCACTGCAGCCTTCGACATCTTTCACACTATTCCAGTACTCTGGAGGGTCTTGGGAACCTCTAAGGCTGTTAACCTGAAGCCCTCTGGTCCCTCACCCCATCAACCTACACAGTTCCAACTTTAATATCTGACTCCTCAGACTGTGTGCGTCAAAGAGTTTTAAGACTTTGTGGTTGAGATTTTTGGGTTCCCTGAAGACCTGCAAGGACATGGTGTGTCCCCAGAGCTGCTGTCTTGTTCCCCACCCCCACCAAACACATATGCTAAGCTATTCCTTATGCTCCTTGGTGACTATGTTCTTAAGGTTTATTGCCACGTCTAGAGTGTCAAATCCTTGAGTGAGGAGATAAGGCCTCATTTTCCTGTGTCCCCGGGGCCTGCACAGAATGGGCAACACAGAGGTACTTTATAGATGCTTACTGTGATTCAGGGAGTGAGTGGGCAAGGAACATCAGTGGCAAACAAGGGGGCACTAGGGAATGAGGAAGCTGGGCTTATGAGAGATAGGCCAAAACAGATCCTGGGCTGGTAGGTTTCCTAGAAAGGCTGTGGAAGGAAGGTGTCTATGTCACTTGGAAAGCATCTGTGCCACCTGGCTCTGAGCTGAGCTAAGCCTGGAGATGCAGCTACAGTGCCCAGACCTGTAGCACAGTGGCCTCTCAGTTGGGGGATAGTGCATGGTCTCTTGTGTCAGGAGTTTTGGGCCATTAAGCTGGGAAGACAAGCCCAGATGATCACATTCACTTGAACACACTCAGCCACAAGGAGCCTGCTGAGGGCAGCTGGGAGGGTTACCTTCAGCTTCTCTTTTACCAGGTACCTTGCCCTTTCCAATAGGAGGTAGATTCACCTAGAAGCTTCCTACCACCTGAATACCTGCATGGAAGGGCAGTGGGGTCAGGACAGTACTTACCCCCATTTCCACCAATGGCCAGACTTTGATAACAGTTGAATTGCATAAGGCCTAGTGCTAGGCATGGGAAACCCCACTGCCCCGAGATCTGAGACAGGAAAATGCACAACTTCAGAAAGTCATAGGCAACTGAATACTCAGGAATCAGTCCTGAAGACACAAAGTTAGGTCAATCACACTAAGGGAACATGTAGAGTCATAGGACAGGAGTGGAAAAGAGCATCAAAATCACTGAGGTGAGAAGCACCATGCATCTCCAGATCCCACCCTTAATAAACTGAAGGGTAGAAAGCATGCCAAGGGGAAGCCATGCTTCATGTCCTCAGAAGTAAAAAATGACAATGATATAAATGCAGAGGGAACCCTTGCTGAGATCTGATCAAGGATGGCTGATGAAGAGGCAAAAAGCCAGGAGCAAGGGATGGCGGACACCTCTAGAATGAGGTAGAGCCTCTGAATCAAGCTTCCTCTACTTCAGCACCCTTCCCATTTGGAATCTTCCTCTTGTTTGTGGTGGGATTGTTCTGTGCACTGTAGTATGTTTAGCAGCGTCCCAGGCCTCTATCCCTACACACCAGCAGCACCTCTCTCAGACATGGTTATGGTGAATGCCTCCAAACATTATCAAGTGCCCCAGGGGCACGGTCACCCCAGGCTGAGAACCACAGCTCCAGACAGTCCTACAAAAGACCTGTAATCTTTACACCATTATCTACACACACACATACATACACACTCATACACACATGGATCAAAAAGGTTTAGTGTGCTAAAATTTAATGGCCAAGACAAAATGAAGCTAAGATAACCACTTGGGCACTTACTGTTCTGAGAACTCAAAAGCTCTACTTTGCAATAAATAGACTTTTTATCATGAGAGATATTTCTGTTCCCAGATTGCCTGGGAAATTTACTCCTTATATTAAATATAAACCCTGCATTAAACATATTACATGTAGTCCTCAAAAAAAACAGAAGTGAGATCCAGCTACTACAAGCTTCATGTAGTCATGCTCAGCCTAAAGAAAACTTCACATTACATGTGTAAAAGGGTTGACAGAGTGGCTCAAGTAGTAGAGCACCTGCCTACCCTACATTACATGTGTAAAATCCCATTTAATGTTGCATTGAGCATGTAAGATTGGTTTGCTTTACAAAACGAGGTTTTAGCATTTTTAACATTCAACCTGAAAACTCATTCACATGTAATGATGCAAGTGTGGCACTCTACTTACTATTTATGTGGTCCATATAATAAATTCCAATTTGTTTATCATATACAGTTTCCCATCCTAAAGGAAGTTCATCCCCAACACAATCAGCAAAGGTCAGTGGCTTTGTTATCCTGCAAAATAAAATTATGAAAAAAAATCTGAAAGTCAATTCAATTTTGTATAACTTTTCTGACTCTAGAATTAGATTTTGATACAAAATTATACATTTATCTTATCTACTTGACTGCTTTTACCCCAACTATTTGGTTGGAAAATTAATGCACCAGGTTTGCCTAAATAATAATACTCACCATTAAAGCATTACTGTTTCAAAGTGTATTTTAAATACCAGTAAAAACAGATATTGACAATTACCAACAAAACAGGTAAAACAAGCATCTTCTCTCATGCAGTACATTTGGTGAGGCCACAGCAATGGAATGTAACTCTTCCAGATAGGAGCACCATGCTCTGTTCTCGCTCTCTGAGAAATAGCCTCCCTCACAACTTTCGGCTTCCATACAGTGCATGTGAACACCAGCTTAAATCTATACACAATGCACTTGTACACAACGCACTTGTAATATTTTCATCTACCCGTGACCCTAAGTTAATTCAACATCAACCTTTGAACAAATGCAAAAAGCCAAGCAACCCAGCAATACAATGAGATGTCTTTCTGAATACTTCCTGCATTCCATATATAGGAATCAGAAATTTCAATGGGTCCTTTTTGTTTTTCTAAAGAAAAACAAGAGCACAATGCCTACCAACATCTTTCCTTAAAGGAAATCTGAAGAAAACCTGGGCTTGAAAAGAGATTTAAAGGGTTTTCCATTTTAAGCAGAGCTTCTCTACTCTCCTTCCCTATGATCACATTGATTGACAGGAGGTTTTAGGGCAGCAGCTGTTGTATAAAACGGGACACACCTATAATTGTCTGAGTCTGGGCAGCTATCTCTTTGGTTGTCTCTATAAATGCACACTGACTGGTATGCATGGGAATCCGATAACCTGAATTTCACAAGCTCAACCCTCCCACTTCTGTTCAAGTCCCTGGCCCCAGGAAAGTGAGACGTCACAACTGTAGCCAGGCCCCATGAGACCAGTATGAATTTTGAACATGTGATTTCTCTGAACTGGTTAGACGGAAAAACTATCTCTCCCAGTAGGGTTGAGAAATTGATAAATACTATCAGAACAACACTGATTTAAATCTTCATTTTAAATATATGGTTTTAAGAAGTTAGGGTCAGTACAAAAACAGATATATGTAGAAGATGAAATAGACTTGTGGACATCCTCCCAAACATGACCAGATGCAATGGTATGACGGAGATAGGATTCCAAATCAAGCAAGTAGTGGCAGAAAGTTGTCAGGATTCAAGTCCTGAACGGGATCAAATCACAGCAAAAATAATCCTACTGTAGGCTGGTGGAGTGGCTCAAGTGGCACAGCATCTGCCTAGCAAGTGTGAGGCCCTGAGTTATAAAAAAAAAAAAAACCCAGTACCACCACCACCAAAAATAATAATAATCATACTATAACACAAATTGAGTCCTGAGCATATCTCTTCTACCCCAGTATTATAGTATTCACATATTAGCCTAGGGAAAAACGCCCAAGCACAGGCACATATTTACATATGTGATTTCATTTAATCAACAAATATAGGTGGGAAACCCATCCTTACAGCACTACTGAGCCTAATCCATTTACTTTATAATTCAAAACTGTTATAAAATTATTACGAGTTCCTATCTTCCCATTTTCTCTTCTCAACCCACCCCCCTCAGGTTATTATACTAACAGTTCCATACTCCTTACTCCAAAAATAAATTGAACAATACTTCTGCCATTTTGGTGAATTTCCTTTTGGCTTTATGTAGAAGCTACATGTCTCACAATTCTATTTCCTTTGTGAGCCAAACACAGAATGAGTGCTTCAACACAAGCCTCAGAGAAGTCACACCTCTTAGAGTCCAACTAATGTCAAGAGCAAGGTCTCTACAACCACAGTCCATAGTGTCTGCTTTGTTCTCCTGGGCTGCTGGCTCTAGGAGGAACCAGCAAACACATTGCAAAGACACTCAAGCAGCCCTGTGGAGAGGCCATGAGAGGGAACCACCATGGGAACAGGTTTCCCAACCCCTGACCAACCTTCAGACAACCGTGGCCTTGGTCAGCATCTTTACCACAACCTCATGAGACCTCACACATGAACTGCCCCTTTGAATTCTTCCAAATTCCTGTGCCACACAAATCATGGAAGATCATGCTTCCTGTCATTTGAAGTCATGAAATTTCAGGTTAATCTAGCATGTAGCAACAGAGAACTAGTCCTTAAGCTGTGACATCCCTTCTCAGTCCATCACACACTAGATCAGACCTTTGTGCGGAGGATCCAGGTTGTCATCTGCTACCAGACAGAAACTCAGAGCATTAAAATAAACATCCACACTGCTCTTCTAATTTATGTGTCAAGATGAACATCCCAGGGATGGTGGGATGGCTCAAGTGGTAGAGTGCCTGCCTAGCAAGCGTGGGGCCCCGAGTTCCAACCATAGTACTGCCATAAAAAAAAAAAAAGGTGACACATCCCCCAAGATGTCCAGATAGTTGTGGCTTCATTGAATCCTGATGCAATTTTCAACAACAGCATTGAAAAGTCTAAATTTATTCTCCTAATTATCATTCCAAAATATTTATGGGAATTCATGGTTTCCTCCTGCACAGAACATGCTATTATGAATATTCTAAACTGTACCAATATCAAAGGGAGGTTTTTCTCCCAAGAAAGGTGTTGCTGGATAGCATTACTTCAGTAATAACTAAATCACTCAGATGAGTTATTCAGTCTCAGAATCTGATCACAGCTTTATAATGAGGAGAACTGACCATCATTGTCAGCAGGGCACTGTCTGGGGTTGGTTCGGAACACTGGAGTTGACTTCTTTTGGTGTTAGCTTTTTAGTAAGAGTGTATTTGGCTGTTGTTAGCTGAAAAGCATGGCTCCTGTCTGTCAGGGTCAGACTGGGGGGAGCCTCTCATGAGAGAACTCAGTCTTGGCTGGGGTATCAACAGCACTCTAAATAAGGTGCTAGGCTTCTTCATCCTGAACAGTGTCATGATCCCTTATCTTGCCAGCTGTTATCCCTCACTTGCACAGAGACACTGATGCCCACAGACTCTTCCTCAAGCCTAGTGGCTCCATACAAAATTGCTCAGCACTGAGTCTCCTAGGGCAAAATTCCTGGGCTCATGTTAAAGTTCTCCCCAAGCCAAACCCATACAAAGCTTCTGCTCTTCCTGTTTCAAATCCCTCTCCCTGCCAGACACACACAACCTCTGTTCCAGGTAGATGAGTGAGTTCTCCCTCCACACACAAAACATCACCCCAACTGGCGTCTAGCATCTTGTCTTCTGTCTTTCCTGGGCCTGTGGCTAAGATTTCTACTCCCCTCTCATGCCCAAATTCTACCCACCCTGTACAGGTCAGCTCAGCCCTATACAAATCATCAGTAAAACTGTGCCTGTCTTCCAAGCCCCTACCATCTCTACTGCTGGAGAGCTGCTTCCATTTTCCTATCACTGTGCCCACTGGGCCAAAACGCTACTCCTGGCCATGTTTATTACATTAGTATGCTTCCTCCACATAAACCTTGTGAACATTCTAAATGAAGGTTCACTGTGTAGCCTCCTTACTCAATCAGAATCTGGCACTGAAGGAAAGAAGGCTTTGGAATGAAAAGTCAGCCCAAAGCACATTTGCTTTCCTCCTAAGCAAGTCCTTTTAGAGAAGTTACAGCCATGATGGCCCTACAATAGATCCATGTCTCCAATTCTGGACAAATGGCCCTTTTGTTTAAACTACACTAATACCCCAAAACTGGCCTTTAGTGCCAGATTCATTCTTATAGGTGGCTCCCAATGGATCTAGGATCCAGACCTTCTCACAGGAAAAAAAATGCTCAGTTCAGATGGTTTGGGTTTCTTTATACCTACCTGTATGGCACCATGTGGATAATTTGTACATTTTACTACATGTTTTTCAAACTGTCATTAGTAGGAACACAGAACTATTTCAGGTAGAACCAGTGTGGACCAGGAGGAGGAAGAACCAAGAGGACTCACAGCAGCTTGGCTCAAAACTGGTTAAACACATTGTGTTTTATATTATTTTATCAAATAAAAGGATGGGAAAATGAAACTGCTAATACTAGCAGAGGGGTTGTATGGACTTTATGCAGTTCCATCTACTCAGTATGTGGAAAGGCTAAAACCTTAGATAACACCTGGATTCGGCTGAATCCAAAAAGAAAAGAACAAATTTAATGGAACTGAACCAAAATTTAGAAATATGTCAAAATCTATGTGTAAAAGATAAGGCAGAATTGAAGATGTTGACATCCTTTTCAGTTCTCCAGGCAGAGAGACCGGTCCTTACAATTTCTCCCAACACACTTAAGTCTTTCAGCTGTCCCACATTTATATCTATTATACAAAAGCAAGGAAATGGTAACATTGTAACTTATTTCCCTTACAATAAAACAGAAGAACAACTCAGAATCAGAAAGGGGTACATTAATTAATAAAGGCAGCAGCATAGTGAAAACAGAGCTTATTGATAAGTGGAAAGACACAGGAAAGTTATAAAAACAAACCATAAGAACTTAACCCACCAAATCTGAGACGATTTAGTAAAAGATCAAAAGGACACAGTGGCCTCAGCCTCTCCCAGAACCTCCCACAGCACCATCCAATGATTCATACTCACAAAGACCACCATGAATTTGGTTACACCAAATTTTTAATTCCCCAAGCTGTTTTTGCACTACCGAAGATATGGGACTTCTCATCCTGTGATTGAACTGCTACAGGGGAACATTTTCTATTTTTGTAAATGCAACTGATTTTCATTTATATTTGTTTTTACTATTTTAAATGCTGAGCACACAATTAAAAATAAAGGTAAGTCAGGACATGATGGCACATGTCTGTAATCCCAGACTGAGGCAGGAGGACCAGCTTGGGCTATATACAGTGTCCCAGGCCATCCTGGGTTACACAGAGAGACCCTGTCTCAAAAACAAACAAACAAACAATTTAAGTTAAAACTAAAAAGAAACA